GCATTTCATTCCACTGTTGTCAGTGGAGTTTCACCTTTGCACTACTTTTTTTTCCACCTGTTGAAATAAGATTGGATTTGGTCAAGGAGCTATGCCTATTTATAAAGATTAGTGATAAAAGAGAACAATACTAAGATGACTCCTGCCTACAGAATTCTTTGGTAAAGCAGGACAGCCTGGTTAAAGAGAGTTTCTTGGTTTCCATAATACCAAGTGATGCCCAAGGCAAAGAACTTCAAGAGAAGTTTATTAAGCTGAAAGGGTCAACTCTAAGAAGTGGCTCTGCTAGGAAAGCTGAATCTGCCATCCTGTCAGCCATAGCTCACATGGTGCACGCAGACTGCCTTCTGCTCCCTGCAGATTGCAGTTGCCTCTATCCCTTGAGGTAATTTCCTGCATTTCCAGCTCACGATGGAAAAACTGACGGTCAGTTCCTGCTTAATCCCACCAGAACTGGGCACAAGCAGTCAACCAGTTCAGCAAGATTCTTTAGTGGGAGACAGACAGACCAACTGTATGAGCTCATACCCCTTGTTTTCCTGACAAACGAGACTACAGGCTGGCTGTCAAAGCTGAATTTTTGTGCAGAAAGTCACTTTTGACAACCCCATGAAAAATAGATTTGGCTGTCATGGAAAAATCTGAGGGGGATTTCGCAATATTGCAGAAAATTGTTGTGGATAGGAAAGGTGAATTATTTTAAGAGTTTGGGAGGTGTGATTTGCCTCAGGTGTAATTCATCCTAGCTGAATCTTAGTAATAGAGCTCTGCATGGGTCAAGTTACCTGCTGCCCACTCAGAGACAGCTCAAATCATAGACGGATCATTTGGATGTACTTACAGTAGGTGTAAAGGAAATTCCATCAGGAGCCTTAGGTGTCTCATTAGTTGCAAAATTCCTATAAAAAGCTCTTTCCATGGGCTCATAAGGAACACTTCATACCATTTCATGAGATTTTTGTCGGGGAAGGTGTCAGGAAAAAAAATCCGAGAGGAGGATACTGTGACTTTACTATGATGAAAAGACAGGGAAATATCAGAATTCATTGCAACAAGCAGGAAGAGGAGATACAAATAAGTTTATTAAGCTTTATCCCCCCCAGGAATACCACATCAACTGTATTTCCTCCTCTTGTACACTTCGTCAAATTCTAAGGGCAAGCTATGGCAACATGGCATTCCAATGTGCAGCCAAAATATTGATTTAGAATTGCTGGTACCTTGAAGTAGTATAAATTGCAGTTTAAATTTAGTGGTTGAAGCCTGCCATGCTTGTGGCAGAAGCCTTGGCTTAAACTTGACATACTTCACTATGAGATGATCATCCCTTCTTTCCATCACAGGAGTTTTTCTACTTCACAGGGAACTTGTACAATTCCCTGGCTAAGCCAGTGAATATCTTTGTTTCTGTTGGCCCGTTGAGATGTGTTCCGTCCCCCTTTCTTTGGGCTAATGCCACTCATTCCAAACCCGGAAACCAGAGGTCAGCTTTAGAAACTGCAGTCTAACTTCCCTGACAAAACTGTGACTGGAAACTATATAGCAAGTGAGAAAAAGCAAAGACCTCTTTTTTTTGTGGAAGCATATATAGATATATGGAAGGAAAGCTAAACAATTTTCTTTCATTAACTTACATGAGACAATCTCGAAGCTTCCAAGGTCCCTGGTTCCTCGCCTCTGCTTAAACAGCTTATGTAGACAACTGCCCCAAAATCCAGGCTCAGCAATGAAGTCATTTATCACATGCATGGAAGTGCAGTCTTGAGGGTGAGAGAAATTACAAGACCACTGATTTATGACAAGAGTTTATAAATATTTACTTTGTTCTTTGAAATTCTTTGCATCATTTGTGTTAAAGGGTCACAAGAAATTGCTCAAGACGTATTCCATCCACACTACACAAGAGGCACTGTAGACTTGGGAATAGGTATATTTTGTAGTAAAGAAGGTTTGCAGGTGGTCCCTTGGGCAGAGTTGCCCTCATGGCAGGGGCTAGAGGACTCTAATCTGCATCGCAGTGCTGAAGTCAAAGACCTAGTGTGGAAGGGTTGCAGTCTACATTGCTATTGTGCTTGCCTTGCAGCCATGTACGTGGTGTTCTCCAGGGAATAATCACAGCATGTGATCACAGCCTGCAGGTTTCCATCGCTGACCCCCATCACTACATTTCCACATCATTCCTGAAGGACACTGTAACTCAGGATGTGGAAGAGCTTTGCTCTTCTTATCTATCCATGTGTTCCTGTCCCACCAGTAGGTGTTGCAGCTATTTGAGAACTTCAAGACAAGAGTGCATTTCAACCAGGCTTCCAGATATAAATAACTTGCAGCTAGTCACTACTGCTTTTTCCCAAAATTTGAACTTACAACTTTGAGTAGAAAGATTTTACATCCTGTTGTCTCTGCCTCAGCTTCTATTTCTCAGTGTTACTATCATCATTCTTTCAGTTTTTTATTCAATATTCCAGAGGTGCCCTGTGCTGCTTCCGATCAAACATACCAGCAATAGCCAGACAGTAAAGAAAACAGCATCAGTTCGTGCACAGAGCCAGCAACAAAGGAGAGCTAACTGAGGATGCATGAGGCCAGCGCTGCTTCTTGACAGAACCTAGCATTTGCTAACCCACACACAGGTTTTGTCCAGGCATCCAGCTCCACACCAGACTTTCTCTAAACATTTATCGACATTTATCTGTGTGGTGTTATTCTGCACCATTTTGGAAAATACGCTCTAGCCAGTCACCAGTACGCTTGCACTAATGACTATTTTGTAAAAGCACAGTGAAAGATATTGAATAAAAGTCCAATATTTCTCATTTGAGAGTTAAAGCACAAAAAACCTCATTGTACACATAAGATGGTTTTAGTAGTTTTTTTTAATTAGCACTGCTACATCACCTTAACATTCTCTCTATATATTTCCTATTTATTCTTTAGATTTTGATTACTTTGTTGGCATCTACCATAGGAGAGTCCTCATTCATGTTTGAGTTCCTATGCACTTCTAGAAGATCCTAGCAATCACTTTTTTCCCCTCCTGGTGAATAACTGGATGTCCTCAGCTAATTATGTGCTCCTATTGCCTTCATTATAGGGGTTCAGAGTATTTTCACTCTCATCCGAATCTTCCATTAGACAGTTTTTCCAATTTAAACAACTCATCTAAGAAAAGATGCTGCCTCTCCCAAGAAGCCACGTTTCTCTTATGCCATTTTAACTCCATTCGAGAAAAAGAAATAAGTATTGTTTTGTAGGATCTATTTGCTCCCTGCAAAGTCACCATGCTGTGTGATGTCATCATAGTACAAGTTATCCACAAGTGGATTTTTTTTTAACTTAACAAAACCCAGATGAACAGGTCAGACAGGAGTTCAACCTCCATTCAAGCTCGAACACTGTTTACGTCCAGGGAAATAAATTATTTCTGCTTTTTGTCAAAATTTCTTCTCTGCAATCTGTTGGACACTCATTATCTCCTTTTCTTACTCCTTCCTCTACCATTTGGTAAACAGATCATTGCAGCCTAACAGATTAAAAAGTTATCTTGAACATTATTTAAAAAAAAAGGTCCCTTTATCAGCTGATACAAACCACTCTTGGTTCCTCAGCATCAGCTAGCCTCATGTCAAGTTACAAGAGCCTCCAACACTACGAAAAGTACTTAACTGCAAACAACTTGGACCATGCCTAAAGCCAGTTAGGTGCCACATCACCCTGGCGACAGCACATGATGAAAGTCTCCATTCACAATAGTACATACAGAAAGAAAACTCATACCAGACCACATCAAAGTCCCCTATTCCACATCTGACCCTGTGCAGCAGAGAACACTTACAGGAAGGTATGGATATAGGACAAGACACAGCAGCCACCTCCGAGGATGCTTTTCCATCCTCTGGTATTGCCCAGTATCTCTGCATTCCCCCAGTTCCTCACCGAATGGATCAACACCTGCAGTCTATTCAATAGCTGTAACATAACCACACATGCCACCAAGCTTTGCTACATCCTGAGTATTGGAGATTAGGATGCTTTTGTCCAATTTAGGAGAAAAAAAAAATGAATTCCTTATATTCAGGATTGCTTGACATTTATTGCAGTGAATCAGGAGCTTATTCTGAATTCCCAGGCTCACCCTTTTCTCCAGTCCTCATCTGCACCTCTCTCTCACCTTCCCCAGTTACCTTCCTCAATCTCTGGATTTTTCAGCCCTCTAGGGCTTGTCCAGATTGTCTCAGCAGGAAAAAATAAGGGTTGGTCCCTGAGTACTCCCGTGTGGCTGGCTCAGGCAAGAATATCAGAGTACTGAAGATAATGATCTCCGCTCTGGATGGTTCTGGGGTAGCCATTCAGGCACACGTGCTGGGTCTGCGAGTGGCTCCTGCAACTATGCTCAAATCTTGATTTCCTATGCATCCCTTTCGTTAGTGCGTCCCTGGAGAGGAGAGCAGCCACACTTCCCTGCCACCTGCTCTTTGTACCTGGAGGCTCCAGGAAATGATCCCGTGCCAATTCCCTGGCAAGGAAGGTCTCAGTTCAGCCCTGCGCTCTTACTCGACGTACCCTAACTGTGAGAATGAGCTTTTAATCTCTCTGGGGCAGGAAAAGTCTTCTCAGTGATTTACAGCTGTGTATATACTTCAGCGTGCGCTATAAATACAGCTCTAAATCTCCGCATTTAAGAGAGATGGCAGA